TCCGCGCAGCCGTGCGGAGAGCGGCAGGACGCTGCCGCCCTGCCCGTCCCCGCCGCATATTTTCCGAGCTTGTGATGTTTGACATTCACGTGCAGTGTTTGCTCTGGGCGGGAGGAGATGCTCTAGGAGGGCGTTTTGTCCCTCGGAAGGGATTTCCTGTAAGTGACAACAACAGCGCGTTTGCAGTTGGATGGCTCAGAGCGACGCGATGGCCCCACAGCCCCGTGCTCGGTGCACAGCCCCGCGCCGGGGACGGGACGGCTGCGCCACCGCTCCGCAGCGGGTACAGAGTGCCGCGCCAGCCCCATCTCATCTCCGCACTCAGCATTTCCTCCTAATTGGAGGACGCAGGGCTGATAAAGCTCCCGCCCAAATATCTCGCCTAGGTCCATTGTAAACCAGGAACTGGGATCACCTCCTAATCCCTCGAATCCACCTTCATTAGAGAGTGGTTTTGCCTTCCACTTCTTCCCTTCCCTGGGGTAGGGGAGGTGGCGGCAGCCCGGCCCCGCGGTGCTCACCAGGGGCAGGAACGTCAGCAGCGGCCGCACGCGGGGCCGAGGTTTGAGCGTCGCCGTGCCGGAGTCGGTCATGGTGCCGAAGCGGTTCTCGCCATAGTACACCTCGATCACGTCACCTGCGAGGAAGGGAAGGCCGTCAGCAGCCGCATCACGCTACAGGCAGCGGGAAGAGACACAGGCAGATGCCGCCTAGGTCAGTAAGGGCAGGGAAGTCTTTGCCATAGCCACACGCAGGAGCAGGAGCGACTCGGGAGCCCGAGGAGCACCTTGGAGACGAGCTGAGGGGGAGCAGCTGCCAGGCCAGGCTCGTGCATGCAGGGAATAATGACCCTTAATGGCAAACAAGGTACTTGAGCTTGAGGAGCACAGAGCAGAGGTCAAGCCCATTCGGAAAGGGTTATTTCTGGTTGTAAACAAATACTCAAATTCCACCACAGAGGGTCAGAGGTAGTACCCATAGCTTGCAACTCATTCACCAGTCAGCGCCGCTCTGCCAGCGCTGCTGAGCTCGGACGTGGTGTTTTCCTTGCACGTTTTTCCCCGATGCCGCAGGAGCCCCCGCAGCTGCTCTCCCGCCCTGGCAGGGCCCCGCTGCCAGCACCGGGGTGACTCGGGGTGGCTCGGCAGCGCCCTGGGACCCCAAGTGCAGCGCGGACACGCAGCGCCCAAAACCACCCTGCGAGCAGGGCCGGTGTCACAGCGGGGAGGACGCAGGTGCTGCCGGTTCCCAGCCCCGTGCCTTCGCCGTGCGCCACACCTCTCCGTGACAGGTTATATCTGACAGTGAATAAAGCTCGTGAAATTACTTTAATTACGCTCTCTGTGCCCGATTAGCAGCATGATTTAACAAGCAGAAGCAGCGAAGCACGGAAACGAAGCACGGAAACCCCAGCTTGGCCGGGAGGAGGGACACAGATAACATGTCACCCTGGTGACGAGCACGAAAGCAAAGTGCAGGGGACCAGGAAGGGGCACTGAGGGGCGATTGGAGCGACAACCCCAGGGAACTTTCCCACCCAGCAGGTTCCAACAGGAGTTTCAATGAGCGGGGGAAAGCAGACACCCTCCTGCTGCTCCCTGGAGCGGCAGCTCTTAGAAGCAAATCACTTCTTAAAAGAATAAATAAACAATAACTCTGGAGCAGCGTCTTCAGAGTGGATTTCGTCCTCAAACAGAGCGTTTCTGTCAAGGATTGCACAAAAAGGAGCAGCTGCAGAGCAGGGAGGTTGCGCAATGCCCCAAGCGAGGGAAAGGGACGGGCTGTGCTCCTGGTGCCAGGAGGTTTCCCAGGCTCGGGATGCTTGGGGAATCCTGCCATGCCGGAGAGGGAGCCCGGGCAGCGCAGGGCGAGGAGCCGTCTCTCCCGCACCTCCTTCCCCCCGAGGCAGGATGCCCCGCGGCCGGGGCCTTGGCATCGTCCTGCAGCCTCACCAAGCAGGTCCCCATCCGACCAAGCCAAGGAAGCCGGAACGGGAAAGCGGAGACGGAGCAGCTCAGGATCCGGAGCGACGGGAGCTGAGCATTACGCCAGTCACCAGCGAGACCCGGTGAGAAAGTGGATTAAAGATCACAGGGCTGTTTGATCCTAGATTACTAAGCATCTCCAACCCGAATGCATTTAATTAAAGAGCAAAACGAAGTGCTTGCAGTGGTGTTTCTCTGCTAGATAAACAGGACTTGCCTGCCGGGATCCCGGCCCCGGCGAGGCCCGCGCCACTCGGCCGCCGTCCTGGGAGGAGGCAGCAAGCGCAGCCATCGCTGAGACCCCCCGAGACCCCATTCCGTCCCCTACGGGCAGCTGGACCATTGCGGCACGGGCGCTCGGTCACCCCGAGCCGGGGTCCCCGGCCAGCAGAGGTGCCGGTGACGTTGGCTGCTGCTCAGGAAGCTCTGAGTCAGGGACCCGGCAAACCTCCGCCCAGGCCCGTTTTCCCTCGCTCCTCCGTTCAAGGGTTGCACAAGGCCTCCCTGCCCGGAG